CATGCGCATGGTCAATACACCGCGATAAGCAGATTAGTCCACGTTGTCAAGTGGAAGTTGAACAACAATATAGAATGCCGACACTGATAAGCGAATGTAGCTGTTATCTAGCGAGGAAGCAGTTCGTGACAAAATAACTGATCAGCGCAATCTCTGCGAAAACTGGAAATGCGGAGATAAAGCGCTAAACAGCATAACAGAGGCAGCGAGATACGATTCAATGTGGGACATTTGTTTGCAATCATGCAGTGCTTCATGTAAATAGAAACCTTAATAGGACAAATGATTACTAGACAGTACCCAGTACTGTATGCGTGCAGCTATAGCTGAATGTCGTGTAAAAGAATGCTGATCTCTAGCACTCGGAAATTTCACCCATTATATGCCTACAGACTGATATCGGTACATAGCTACTTAGTGAGCAGCTCAATGATGGCTGGTTATAGTCAATTAACACATTAATTATAATCGGGAGTTGATTAGAATTAAAGTATTAGTATATAGTTGTTAATATAATTAGTTCTTTGTGTCACCGTTGACAGTTGCGGAATCTAATGTATCATCATGTTTCAGTATCATCTGAAAATTAAAGAAAAACAACATTTTCTCGTTCCATTCCACGTGCACTGCATCATATTCTTTACTACTGACATTGGCATCATCGGAAGTAATTGCTAAAATGTTCTACAGCTCTTTAAACCAAGATATACAACCGCGCCCGTATCATAGGTACAATATAAGGGCACCGCCATCTTATTTTTTTTTCTTGAACCCACAAAATCCAACACAGGTGTTCACATGGAAAATCTCCCGCTGAGACAAAAACATGAATCATCCGAGATTCCGCGAGTCGATAGAAAACAATGGTATCTTATTGATGCTGATCTTATTGAGCGAACCGCGTGACGCGAATGGCAACCGCGGAACGGGTTTTCACAACAGGTGGCGTGGACTTCGCACTGTCGACTACTCAGGGACGCGCTTGTCATATACGTTGCCGGACACACCCACCCCGCCACGCTCACGCTCAGCGTTGCAGCGCCCCCTTTCCCTCCCTCCGCCCCCGAGACGGCCAAGGAATACGCGAATACAATAGTTACAAGCTCTTTGACGGGTTGCGCGAGTGGGGTGCACGCGTCGCGATCCGAGCAGCGGGAACAACAACGCCATTAAACGGTCAGCCACGCGGACCACCCAGACACCACCAGCCAGCCGCAGAACGATTGGTCATCTCCGCACACCACGGCGATCACTACAAGATACGATTCACATACTTGACAAAAACGGGTTAAGTGCGCGCACCTTCAAGGGCACTGATATGCGATGTTGTCAGCGTAAAGAGCTCATAGTAACACCGCCCGGGCCCATAACCTTGAATGAACGCCATTCAGGGTGCCGACAATAAAGGCAATTGTATTTTTTAATACGCTATAACAATGTCGAAGCAATGCGAAAAAAACCTGCGTACGGAGTAACCATGAGCAAAAACTCTAGAAGCATATACATACCAAGAGTGCGTGATTAGTGTGTGTGATGAGAAGACGCCCCCAATAAACTCGGGCTTCGCCAATGCGTACGTATATTGTAAATAGCCGTACGGAGAGCATACAAAAGTTACTGTAAAAGCTCGTGATAGTGTTAAGACGAGGCACAAACAGTCCGACAGAAGGAGGATGAAAAAGAAGAGCGCACGAACACAGGAGGGAAAGAGAGAGAGAGAGAGAGAGAGAGAGAGAGAGAGAGAGAGAGAGAGAGAGAGAGAGAGAGAGAGAGAGAGAGAGAGAGAGAGAGAGAGAGAGACGAGAGAGAGAGAGAGAGAGAGAGAGAGAGAGAGAGAGAGAGAGAGAGAGAGACGAGAGAGAGAGAGAGAGCGAGAGAGACGAGAGAGAGAGAGAGCGAGAGACAGAGAAAGAGAAAGAGATATCAGTCGGTATCGTTCAGCAGCTGGGAGGGAGCGCTCTGAGGTTCGGCACGTGCGCATCCAATAAGAGATGCGCCTCGCAGAGATAATGACACCCTGCTCCAATGAGGAATTCAGCAGCTGCTGCACGCGGAAGCTGGGCAGTACCGCGTGCGTCCGACACAGCGACAAAAAATCGCATCATCGCCGCGGTGAGACATTCCTGCTTCTGTGTCCAGGTGCGGCAGCTTAGCGGCGTGAAAGCATTATAGTGCCAGACCCTGCAGAGATAGCTTCGGCTATCGGTGGCAAAGGGAAAACTACTTATGAAAGAGACGTGGCGTTTAACAGGGTGTACTCAGTAACATCGTCTGCAAGGGGCGGAAAGGCGCTGCCGTTGTTGATGCGTAAAAACCAGTTAAATTGCTTGGCTTTATGGTAGGACGTGTAGTTGAATTATAGCCACTGCCCTGCCATCGCCATCCTCTCATACAGTTATAAACGTGGCGGTAACATGGAATAACGGGGGAGGTGAAGAACAGGGCAACAGTTTATAATTAAATTTTAAGGAGATACGTATTGTTCTTTATTATTATATTATATTAAAGTATTACTTTATTTCTAGAAGCAAGCACTATACACTGTCATACAAATGAAAATAAAATCTATGTAAAGAATACATACAATATTCTCTGGTATTTAAATTGGGTAAAATCTATGGGATAATTTGAATATATAATGTCAACCATCTTGTGAACTTCAAAGTTTATACAGTAACTAGTATTTCGATGTTAAATTTTTTAGAAAAGAAAGTGTATATTTGACATGTTATACGATCAATACATGTTGGTATTGCAAGCACGAACGTCAAATCAGTTATACATAACAACAAGAATGTCATAGCTATATTATTCCCGGAAAAAAGCTCGGAGTTTTGACCAATTTAATTTTTATAAAAATAAAAGATACCCTTTCAAAATAACAAGACGAAACTGAGACACCTTGACATTATTGAGACATAGCTCAATTAATACAAATTCAGGTTGACACACACCTAGAAATCCTATGTTGTTGTGCTCGGGAGCATCAACTATACCCCTCTAAGATGTATCTATTAGGACGCCCGGCTTATTTTCTCACGAGATACAGATCGTTTTGAGTCATACATTTATGCGTGCGGAGTGTGGCAGCAGCAGTATAAGGACGTACAACCCGCTGTCTAGCGCTATCAGTGGCAGTATTTCGTCTCGGCAGCCGTAGCCGCGGGCGAACATGGATGCCACTTCCTGTGAGAGACGCTCAACGCCGCTTGTTGTCAGGGATTTAAACGACTTAAAAGGACCAGCAGAAAAGGAGTCGCCGAATTTTTGTGAATGGGTAATCTGCGTAGGCCGCCGCATGCACGGAGCCGCGGGGGTTTCCTGTTCAAGGGTACGTGGAGTATATGGATAGCTGCCAGAATGATTTGTGAAAAAACAAACCAATTTAGTTTACTACGTAGAAAGTACGCGCACGTAGCGACAGTGATGGCCATGAGAAAACACAGATTAGAATGAAGTCAACATTAATATCGTTCTCCCTTTCTCAATCATGATTGTAGCTTTACCAATTTCATTGTATTTTTCATTGTAGTATTTTAGGTACCAATTATTAGGTACCAAGCTATTTAGGTACCAATTAAAAAAAGTGCAATATAGTGCGCGGCCATTGAAGGAAGTAAATCAGCCACCGCAAGAAGGGGTAGATGGTGCCAGATGTAGTGGAGAATTCACAACATTAACTTCAAAGTAATTTTATCGATGCTTTCTCGTTAATCATATAGCTATGATAAGTTGTTCAGGCAAAGAAACATCATGAACTTGTACACCCATGTTTGTGTGCGCCCGTAAGCGTCCATTTTCAACAAATAAGGTTAGTCACTATCAGCTCCGTAACATTTTACCATCACTCTGCACCAAACGTTTTATGCACCCTATACAGTTTAGAATTTCTTCATGATTTATCCTGTAATGTGTATAAAGCAGCAATCCATACGTCCGCACAATTACAGCTAATTAAATGCTACAACGGTTTTTCTCAAACACGATAACTACCAGCAGATGTTTCCTACGAAATACAAGAACAGCAATTTTTGTCGTCTGCCTGCGCGTCTGCCTCTCCCATTCATCTGCTGCCTTCATTCAAGGGCGAACACAATGCGGATCTTCCCAAAGCAAACATCTCCGCAAATATTGACTAGCCAAACAATTAGTGTCTAGATGACACAATTTTAAATACGCAAATATTTAGACAGCTTTTCGATGGCTCACTCTTACATATCGGCGTCTCTAAATGGCACCTATTTGTTGTATGATCGGTCAAAGGATGAAGCAAAAGTTCAAACAAGCCCAACCAACTACACCTCATAACACCTGGTTGCTTCTACCTGATTGTGATAACTACTTACGTCGTAGGTTAAAATTTACGTTGTACCAATTTACGTTGTACCAATTTACGTTGTACCATCTATGTAAATTGCGAAATCGTACACATGCTAGATTTACTGATGGATGACAGAGTTAAAGGCAAGCCTCATCAGACAATCCTATAACTCAAGCTTGCGAGTTACATGGCACGGCCTTTCTAATGTGTCTAATAATAGAATAATAGAAAAAAAAATAATAGGAAATAAATAAAATAATAGATACGCAAAAATGACTGAATTTCTTAAATATTCCGCGTATGAATCTGGAGCCCGTTGCAAGAAACACAAGTTTTCGCATTATCTTTTTCTCATAGACTGGAGAACGTCTGGAGCTCTATACACTGCGTATGAGAAACTCGTAACTTTATCATGTCTACTGTCTTCTGTTTATGATGTCTAACGGCCTATGAGAAATAGATTAAAGTTAAGACCAATGTTAAGACAATTTTTTCTGACATCGGGCTCTAGGAGGCCAGAACACCAGAACGTCAGAAACATCGTAAATTGTTTTGACTATCTCAGTCATAAGCACTTCACTTACGAAGTTATGATATTTTACACTCATGTTATCATAACTAATTATGTTGTGTTTGACAACATAACCCCCCCGCCCCCAAATATCGGCGAGTATCCTACCTGTGATTCCACCTGGACAGCCATCACGTTCTGTTCCTCCACAGCTTTAGCGCTTCTCACGAACTTCATCCAGTTGCCCGTTTCCGGCTCGGTGGCGTCGATCCAATTGTTTACCTTCCCGTCTGTCTCTATCAGCTGCAAACAAAACGTATAGACTGTATGGAAAGAAGTCCTCGTGTCTCAGGCCAGTTGGGATTGTCGACTTAACTTTTTTCGAAATTAAACGCAAATTGAATTATTTGACGAATACACCAATCATTTTCAGGTGTACATTCGCAGATGGACGACTGAATACTATCATCTACTAAAGCGGCCCACTACAGGCAGGCGGCATCATGACACCCTCCGCAACCATCCGCCGCAACCGCGGAGCATCTGCTAAAGGCCTCCGCGGATACCACAATGAGCGACACTTTCTTGCAATGTTGGTTTTCGCCTGAATGCAAATGTTTTTCCACGCGCCCTCCCTTTGTGGACGTCTCAGTTACCTGATCCCACCTCTACTGTGGCTAGCAGGTGGAACACACGGCCGTGTTTGCTAGACCCACCATCCCTGACGCCCGCACACTTCGGCGGCAGGGTCGTCGGGCGTTCCGCGCCTGAAGATGTTCCGCCAAATCACACTACTGATTTCTCATCAAACAAATTGTCTAGTTTGAATATGCTAAAAAAATAGCGTGCGCGCGTGTCACAGAGGGACCCCCAAGGCGGTGCGCCGCACGATCCCCTAGTCGTTCCCTCACTCGTTCATGGTCAGACACATTCTCACCCGTTTCGGTGAATGCGAACAGCCCAATAGAGAAGAATTGTGTTAGTTTGTCTAGAGGAGAAGCGAAAACGCGAGGCCCAGCAACAAAAGGAGCTGGCGTATTTTACCGGTAATGACAGCAAATAGGCCCGAAATTGCGGTGTATTCAGTGTCATTGTAGGAAACATCTGTCGTGTGAGGCGCCCGTGCCACACTCAACTCTTTACTCACTAAAATTACATCACATGTTTGACAAGCGATTGCACCGGAACGGCATGGAAAATTATATGTGCGCTCATCAGATATGCTACCAAGAATCTCACAGAGCAGAATGCGCTTGTTCAACGCTCCCATCTTCCGACTAACAGAGTTAAAATACAATACGACTATAAAGGCACTGAATATCATATTACATGCGGAGCGAAATAGCCGAGTAATAGCAATAGCATCTTAAGGTGGGGGGGCGAACGTGTGGCCAGTGAGGGAGATATGCTGCTTTGTATTCCTATAACGAGCCGTAATGGAGACGGGGAAAATTGCCACCTGCAAGTGCTAATTTAAATCGGCTCTAACCACGTACCTACCCTCCCCACCTAAACCTCGGGGGTGCTGCGAGATATAAATCTGCGAGAAATGGGGAAAATGCAGCCGAAAAACAGCACCTGCATCCTAGGTTTGTTTAGCTATTTGCATCCTGTTATTCACCCGATTATAATACACGGGAGCCGCACACACACAGAAGCGATACGCCTCCCAAGCTCGCACGCCAATAGACGCACTGACAATTGATAATTCACCACAAATAACCCTCTTTACGCAAATGACAAAATCTCGTGACAATCGGCCCGCCAATCTTTGAATCTCAATTACTGCATCTCAAGACGCTTCATAACGCAATTACCATAATGTTTACGCGGGCCCTGATAACGCAATTACGGACTTACGAGTCCCCAAGCATCACCTGTCTCTCGGCAATTAGGCCACGCTCTACCGGAAACTCTAATCGCACAGACCGTTATAGGACAAATCACGCGCAGATTACCGGCGATATTCGAGCCTGGCCAGGCGCGTGTCACCTGCAACGATTCGGCGCGAAATTGCCCGATTCTCGGCACGGTAGCGCGGTGATGAACGCGCAGCAGCAGCCGAGCGAGCTGCGCGTCCTCGTGCGTGCGTGGCAGGGTCACGCCGCCGCTGCACCGCCCCCCCTCGTATAAGGTCATGGAACCCTCCGCCACCGGTGTGGAAGCGACGGAGCGCGCGCGGGCGCACAGTTTGCACAGCTAATAAAGTTCGCGACCATGACTGTCACACATGGCGGCGATCACTCGCGCTCTCGCGACCCGGCCAGCGATAGCTCAGCCACCTCCGCCTGCATGCGCGAGGCAACCGAAATGAAGATGGATAAATATATCGCGATCAACTCTCTGTCCGCTCTGTCGATCAAGTAATGCCGTGAACCGTATCTGATACGGAAAACGACCGCGTAACATGACAGGAGATCATGCCGAGTGGCCGCGCGAAATTAGGCAATTTTTTTTTACAGCCGGCCGGTGATCATTATTCATGTGGCGAAATCACTTCTGCGATGAATACGGCGTACTTCACACCCAAATCACGCGTTTTCGGCACTTCCTCGATGAAACGCCGGAGTGGTTGCGGGCTTTCATCTCGTAGTTGACCCTAGGTGAAGTGCATGCTTCGTATTGCAGCGAAAAAGTTCGCATTGCGTTGACCTCCAGAGTGTCATCAGGTCTGTAGATTCTGCCAATTTTTTGCCTTGTTCTTTTTTATATTTTCCCGTCGCAAGAGCCCAGCTAAACACTCCCAACAAGTCCCTACGCCGTATACATACGAGCACAATAGCTTTCTACGGCGGATGCGTGCGTGTCTCTCGAGTCTGAAAATGTTATTACCATCGCTTGCATTGTCATGGCCGCCGCATTGTTATAGCTGCGTCGTACATGTGCGCGGCCCACGATTTCTCAGCGAGCGCGCGCGAAAAAGGCTAACCGATGTGTGTATGTCTATAATACGCCAAAGCAACTCTATGAGAATCTACATCTGCAGCAATTACGCATGCAAACTTTGCTGCATCTGCAGACGGCCGCAACAAAACGAGCTTTGTAGAGCCGCACGGCGTATTCACGGGCCGACAAAATGCAGTGACGAGGAATGGCCATCTGGCCTCATCAGAGGCTGCGTCGGGAGGAGAAATCCGATAGGAATTCACGCTCACGTAGCAGACATAAAGGCGTGGAGCAGGAGCGCTCACTCTTTCTCTCGCACACAGGTGGAGCGCGCTCGCGCTGCCGCCTTCGTCCGCGCGTCTGCTCGCCAAACCCTTTCGACCAGTGGCAACGAGAAGAGAGCGTCCGACGGTAGCTGACCACTTCAGGTGCGCATGCATCGCTGTAATTGCTTCGCGCTGAGATTCAAATCTAACGACCACAGAATCCGAGCTTCTACTTAGAAAATCTCCTTTCGCGGGAACCATCACAAAAGACGGTTGCCCCGCGCAAAAGCGGGATCTACTGGGTTTGTCTGTGGACCCATTGAGCGCTAATTACCTATGTCAACCGACCACATCGTGTACGCACGCGCACACGTACGAGGCGGTTAAGATAATGAGCCTGCCAGGCTTTGTAATCGTGTGCGATGAGGGCTTGAATCGATTAGTACGAGCTATAGGGTCATCGGCGCATGATTTTGTATGACTCAGGTGACATCAATGACAAAATCCGGCATTCCGCGTCGCATCGCATCGCGTCCGCGTAAATATTTCCAGGTCGGGAAACAGCGCGTCTTAGAAGCAGACTACCACGTCCCAAACAAAACTTCATTCATACGTCGGAGCTGACTTTTTTACAAACAGTTCGTTGTGTTACCCGGACTCCCTGAAAGACACGTGGATAGCAGCAAAGATGCTCCAGGGCAAAAGTACACTTGAATAGATACTCGAGGCACACTTGATGAAAGAAAAACAAGTTCGGCAGCAAAAAAGGTGACAAAGACAAGATTAAAGCTGCGCTAATCCTTCCTGCGATATTTGCTCCATTCATACCTCTGCCAGGATACAAAGCGTTCGCCGGCGTCACCATGACACAAGAACTCACGTCGTCGCATAACCATTATCATTGTTGTTGTGCGTCTTCTATAGGACGTGGCGTGGGGTGCGCGCGTGCGTACGCACGTGTGCGAGTGCGTACGTGAGCGTGCATGAACGTGTAGTGTGGCCATAGTATGGGCCATAATAAATTTATATGATTGTAAGGTGCGTGTGTGCGTACGTTCGTGAGCGCGCACACACGCGCGTAGCGTAGGTTCTATAGGCCGTGTTGCGTAGGCGTGCTTGCGTATCCGTGCTGTGCTGATTTCATCAGTGTAACTCGTTACAGGGTCTGTGTGCCTATGTACGCGCTTGGGTGCCAGCAGTGTGCGTGCGTGTGTGCGTGCGTGCGTTCGTGCGTGCGTGCGTGCGTGCGTGCGTGCGTGCGTGCGTGTGTGTGTGTGTGTGTGTGTGTGTGTGTGTGTGTGTGTGTGTACGCGTGCGTGCGTGCGTGTGCGAGTGTGTGTGCGTTTGTGCATCTATGGACTGCAGCCGATTGTATATTTTCGAAATTACAAATTCATCCTGGCATAGATAGCATTCCAAAATTAAAACATATTGAACGGAAAATCATAAGAAACCAGACAAACTCTTTTCCTGGACTAATATAGAATAACCACAAATGTTCAGCCTATCCCTCTACAGCCGACGCGCATTAGTGGGAAAGATTCCTCTAGAATATACATCTGTAGCTATTGCAACTGGCAATAACCGAGAATACCTATTCCAATTTTCTATTATTAATTCAAAAATAGATAACCATATTCCGGTTATAAACACTGTCGAAAATAGATACTGTCTAATAGAATGACAACGAAGATGACTTACTAGTTTCCCAACCGGGAGCCACATAGCTTGAACCGGTGCAGAGTAGAAGAGCTGCGAGTAGATATGATGACTACAGAAGCAAGATTCGTGTTCGGTGAGTAGGACTGCTCAGCTGCGCTCCTCAATTCGAACTGACCACATTATCAGTACGCAGAATATAAACCCTCCAACCACCAAGGAATCTATTCACCAAGGAAACATCCCGAGAAAAGACGCAAGCGATGAAAAGACGACGATTTATTTACGGAGAGACAAAGGTGGTCTGTGGGAAAGCACACGTCAGCGAGGTTCCAGAGTTTCCGCGCACATTCGTAACGATGTGAAAGGTTCTCATGTGCGACCACGGGTAGTAAAATCAGGCGGTGTGGTCGTAAAACACTCCATCACAAAACATACACACTTTGCCTGAAACAAAGGTGTAGCAAGCGCCAAAACAACATGTCAATTGTCTTACCTCGTTGGTGTGTTTATACAAGCCCATTGCTATTCACAATGCTCATTTACCAGTTCACTTATTACAAGCAGCGTGACAATTAGGCAATCTGCCTGCGGGATCTTATCCCGTCGTGTATGCCACTCCAGTGCAAACTGGGCTACTGTCAACATCACCCCAAGGTGATGGCCGAACATCAAACAGTGCTGATGATGTTAACTCTACTTCCAATGAAACAAAGCCACTCATACCCGCCTATTTCTGATGGCTTGCTTTCCCACATAACTAGACTAAGACTGAATGCCCACAACAATTTTATTAGAATAAATCACGACAAGGTATTCAACGTGCTTGCTAACCGAGAGTCCAACAAAGCCGACGAGTCAGTATTGGTCAGCTTTGGCCATGAATAGAAAACCAAAATTAAAAGGCTTACTACCAAACCAAAATAAGCCGTAAATTAATACTTTAGATGGTATAATAGAGCTGGATGGATAGCGTTACACAGTCTCCGCTGCAACTCACAGTAAGCATGATGATTTAAAGAAGAAATACAATTGCTCGTGCTTAACTACTGATCACTGTGTAGACTTCGCGAAGAAATAAATATCAGCGACATTTCACATCACAGCCTGCCGCCAGACACGCCGACGCAAGAATGGCAGTCTAAATTTAGCTGCCCGTCGTGCTGGCCCGCATCTAATATTACCTGCGCATTACGCCACCCAGGTAAACCACTTGTTAGGAAAGGGTTACATGTGACACGTCCAGACAAATCGTTTGTTAGACACTGGTGCAGATCTGCCACGTGATTTGCTTTCAGGATGTAGTTCTGTAACCTAATACTTGACAGGCTGGTGCCAGCTCGGGTATTTGCTGCTATCTAACCTAATAAATATATGCGCATAGGCTTACTATTGATCGTATTTTTATTTCCAAATTCCCCGCGCATGTGCTCACACCACACATATATATGGTTTATATCGTGAAACAGATGTTTATTTAAAGGTTAATGTTATAACTATAATTATATAAGCATATTCTCTTCAAAAAACACCATGGCTTTTATTTTGCTTGCTAGTGTGGGAGTAGTGAGCGAGCTGTTCACATGCGAGTGACAGTCCCCGTGTCTGGTGCGCTCGCTGGTTCGACAGCTTACAACAGAAACTAGTAACCCGTGGTTCCATGTCTGGGGCAGCTTGCGTGGGACAGGGAACCACTCAGGTGACTCGTTATAATGTGCTTATTAGTACTTCCCGATCAATGAAAGATAACTGATCGCATTACCGGTACCTAACCACCGTCTTTGTGCCTTCCCAGTTTCCCACGCGACTTCCACAACAATCTCCGCAGCTACTAACCGCTGCCGATGATGCATATTATATAGCCACGTCAGGCTGTCTTTTCACTAATTAATCGATCGGGGCACGTCTTTATTTGCAGTGATTGAAACGCTTGGCTGTTTACGTTCTAAAAGTAGTACACAAAGCATCGCGTCGCCTCGCTGCTCAGCCGCGACTCACCTCCACCTGGTCGCTCCCAAACTATATATGCTGATCGAGGACAGAAGAAATGGAATACCTCGCCAGTGTGTCAGGCCTAGTTCTTATTACTATACGCATTAATAATCAATAGCAACTATACTCGTAAGTTAGCATAATAACCAAACTAGGCATGACGTGGCAAGATGAACGGGTAATGGAATATCAGTGCATATATGAATGATAAGTAGACGAATACCGAGAGCGAGAGAAAGGGGATGGGATAAGGAGAGAGCATGGTTAGATGGTGATGTACAGAGAGCTAGATTATTAGTTATCTGGAAGTATTGGGGAAAGGTAAACAGAAGAAAAGGCTATTGTGAGATGCCTATAAAAGAAGAGAGCAGGTATACACTGATGAGTAAAACACCACTACTTACCTTCATTTTGTGGCTATGCCGTTCTTCTAGGATGGCTAAGCGAACCATTGTGATTACTCCTTGAATTTTTCAACTTATATAAGGAACCGGTATAAAAATCTTGGTGCCAATAGGAATTCCGTAGCATGCACTCGTTATACACACTTGCAATGTCCACATGTATTCCCCAACGTGTAAGACCGCTAATGTACGCACAGCAACGGACCTAACAATATCTCATCTTTGAGAAAACGTCGGCGATCCCTTTCTTGCGACTTTCGTGCGATTCTAGGCTTCCGTCAGCACGCACACAATCAAGCACATCGCGGAACAACAGCAGTCACCGAAATAAGGCGAGGCAAGCATGACTATCAGAAATCACTGCTCCCCAGCAATACCGCAGAGCCGGGTCACCATGTCACACATCTCAAATGTCTCTCCATGCGTGTGCATAAAGTAATAGCTTTGTGTCAGATCAACAC